GCATGCTCGCCCTTGGAGGAAAGAAGAGAGAGACTGGCCGGCGAGACGGTTTCTGAGTCCTAGAGAAGAGGGACCAAACAAACAAAATATAATAAACACCCGAACGGTATACACAAGCAAAACCGGAAGAGAAAAAGGGGGCGATCCTGGGATCGCATTTATACTGTGGTGATGTTTCGTTTTTTGTTCTTGTTTTTGTTTTTTAAAAAGGGTGAAGCGGCCTAGCGCACCAAAACTGCACTCGCCAGGTTTTGCCCACCCTGAGAAGCCCCCAGGGCGATGGTGGACAGCACCTAGCACCTGCCTCGATACACAAGCAAAACCGGAAGAGAAAAAGGGGGCGATCCTGGGATCGCATTTATACTGTGGTGATGTTTCGTTTTTTGTTCTTGTTTTTGTTTTTTAAAAAGGGTGAAGCGGCCTAGCGCACCAAAACTGCACTCGCCAGGTTTTGCCCACCCTGAGAAGCCCCCAGGGCGATGGTGGACAGCACCTAGCACCTGCCTCGCCTTCTCCCCTTAAAAAAAAAGCCCCCTTCCCCCCCTCTAAAGGGCTGCCTAAAGTGACCGACCGACCGACCGGGACTTGGTTCCTGGGAGCCTCTGAAAGCAGCAGAGGCACCGGGCTGAATCAGGGACGCCTCTGCTGGGAACCAGCTCTTCTTGGCCATATGAAGTCATTTGGGGACAAACTGACTATGAAACGGGAAGGAGAAAAAAAGAACAGTCTCCAGCAAAAAATAATATCCACAGCTTCTGAAATTAACAAGCTGAAGAGCAAAGCCAAAAGAACACGTTTCCTTCAAATAACCTTGGAAATAAAAACATCACGAAGGAGCAGAGGGATGGGCCGGGGCGAAGGGGACGTCCGCTCATCCGTTGCGGAGTGGGAGAGGCCCCCAGGGCCGGCGCGGGCCGCAGTCTGGGCATGGAGGGAGGCCCGCCGCAGCCCGGCTGCCAGGGCTGCCTCTGGGATGGAGGATGCCTAAGGATTCCACCGCTAATAATTTTTTTATTAATATTTTTTATTTTTTATTTCTGGACTGACTCATAAAGGGATTTAGAAAGACTGAGCACCAGCCGCTGCACTTCTTGGACTTCGCTCCTCAACCCGTTGCCAACTTTGATCGAATGGGTGCTGCGGCTGTGATTATAATACTGCCATTTCCAAGCAGTGTTTTTGGTAGGTTTTAATAAACAGACTTTTCAAAAGACGGCAATATAGATTGTTAGATCCGTTGCTGATCTAAAAATATTTGCTTTATATTTTCATTAAATGACTTCTTTTAATATTTTATTCAGAATACTTATGAACTGCTGCAAAATGGTAATTTATTTTTCCCCAGATCTTGTATTACGTGTTTTTTTCAGACGAGCACAAATCAAAATGAAATGAAAATATGGACAGTTGTTAGGTAATAAGGGTATCTTTTGATGTGATCATTTGATTGTAATTTAATTTGAGTAGTGATTCCGTAAGAGCTGATCGAGAAAATAAATTTGTTAGAATGAAATAGTCTGTGTCTGATGCATAAACACTGTGTGGGAAGAAATAGTTGGAAAATATTTTTTTACTAATGCATATCCTTGAGTGCTAGCGCTGAGGAAGCCCAGTAGCGCTGGGGCGCTAAGGTGTGTTTGGGAATCTAGAGTAAAGGACAGGCTTGAAAGAAATTGCTAGTGCTCTAACTACTCGGCACTCCCTGGTAAGCTGTCAATTTCACAGTCTTTCCCTTTCCTGTAATTTTAATGGATGTTTTTAGGGGAGTATTTACTACTTTTCTTGGAGATACCTGTGTTCTTCATCATCTTTATCAAAAGAGTGGATTACATCACCAGTAAAAAAAGTGCCAGCTGGTTATTAATGGTTAATACAGAGCCCTTTTCCAAAGTTTAGCCTCTTTTTCCTCTCCTCCCCCACCACATTGCTATGTTTCTTTCTTCTTTTTCTGAAGACTAATAGTTGGGAAGAATAGCTTACAACTATTCCATTGATATTATGTAATTAAGTTTAAATTATTAAGCTGGTTTAGGGTTTGTTTTGTTTTGTTTGTTTGTTTCTGTAATGAAAGAATGGAGTTCCAAAATCCTGACTGGGGTCCACACTGCTTTACCCTCGGTGTGATTACCAGCTCAGACCTAAAAGTCTACATGTCTGTGTTTTGGTGTTTCTCCAGTGTGATTCTGTACCTTCACTGACCCTGGGGTTTTAGCTTTTGGATCACTCCTTAGATATATCCTGCAGAGCGGCCACATTTATCACATCAATGTATCAATATTTACCATGTGGGAAAGCGAAAGTGTGATGCCTCAGGTTGTGAGTACTAAAGACTCTGCTTAGTTGAGTCCTTTCATACTGGACTTTTTAAAAGTATTTGGGGTGATAAAGCAGTGATTTTATAGGGTAATTTCCCCCTAATCCCATTTAGCTGTCACTCACTTTTTGCCTTCTCTCATCCTCACTTCCTCCCCCTAAGATATCAATGTAGGGGTTAAAAAACCCGGAAAACTGTGCGAGCAACAAGGAGCAGTTATTTCTTCCAGACAGACCCTGTGTCACTTTCATAAATCAAGCCTAGCCAGATGGCCGTGTGTTGGGTTGCATTATTTTAAACACCAGATAGTACTAAAAATCACAATCATTTTGATTTGTGAAATCTGAAAAAGGCCATATTTATTAAACAGAAAGAAGAAAAAATGAAAATAAGAAACCACGATTTACTTTTCTAGGCTTTCTTGTTTCCTTCTTTCTCTTGCTATTGTAATCTCCCTGCCCAGCAAATTTAAAACCTGAGTGGATATAAACTTCATCAGTTCTTGAGGGTCTACAGGGGCAAGCCAAGAAGGCCTTATTGGAAAGCTGAGGATTGGGTGTGGCTGTTTTCAATGATGGGTACCACTGGCACGTGAGATGAAGTCCTGTTTCCCCACCAGGAATGGCAGTGGTCGATTGGACAGTGGGTCTGTATAAAATTTTAGGAGCTATTTGCTTACTTGATTTGACTGACAACAAAAGAACTACCATTCGATTTCACACTGTTTCCCATTAAAGAGCAACCTTTGCTGATTACTTTGGAAGAAGTCCTGATTTAGGGGTAACAGAGTAACTTTTAATTGGAGAAGCTGGAAAAGCAAGACCATTTTATTTCATTATTTTGCATTTTTAAAGTGAGCTAATGCTGGCACTCCATATTTTGAAAATCAACCCTTTGAATGTATCTACAAAATGAAATTCATGGTTGAAAAACAAAAGAGAGCAGCTATAACTGAGAGGTTTGTGTTAGGCTTATATTGTTATACACGTAAATAATGAAAATATTGTTATATATCACCAGATCTTTTTAATGAATTTGGTCATTGTGTTTCTTTGCAGAGCAAGTGTCTTGTGCTTTGTAAAGTAGCCATTTGTTTCCCCCATTTCAATCCAGCCCTCCTCCCCTCCCAGCCCAAAGGAAAGTGACAAAGTTCTGTTCCATCAATCTGGCTAATCCCAAACTAGGCCCATTGGTAGTCTGCAGACTCCTGTGGCTCCCGACCTGTGGTCCAAGCCTCAGCCATCTCATTCACCCAACCATCTTCCCCTGCAAGTCTGGGCGATAAGTCATTCAAGGTGTATGTAAAATAGTCGTTTTGCTGTTGTTTCTCTGCCCTTTTTTTTAGTCCTTAGCCAAGGACTGCTTCTTTGTTCCCAAACAGAACTGTTCATTCTTGATCTTAGAGAGTCCCTCTGCTTCCTTGTAGCCTCCAGTGTTTGCTCACTACCATGCTCATAATGTTTTGTATGAATGGTTTCAAAATTCAGAGAATAATTGGTTCTAATATTAAATGCAGTATATACTATTGATAGTTTTATCGATAAGTGTAATATTTTAAATAATTTTAACAATTAAATTTGTTTTAAAATTATATATTTGTAAAAGTATTTATCTTGTTGGAAGCAACAATATATTGTTGTATTTATTCGTTTATTTTTGTAATAAATGATCAACCGCTCAAGCTAAATCAAAAATGACACTTTTATATATTTATACAAAACGCATTTGAAGAGATGGGCATATTTGCACCGATTTGTATGTAAATAGAGTAAGATCCATCAATAATGTGTAGCTTTCAGAACTAAACTGAAGGCAGACGCATTCTCTCCACATGGAGTTTAGTTTGCCCAAGTTCCAGGGCAATTAATCAAACTCTCAAATGGATGCAACAAGTATTGGCACTGGATACAGACTTGAAATTAATTATTTAGGAGGTGGACCTGGTTTTTTTCAAGGCAGAAGGGTAGAAATTACAGAATTCTTTCATGAAATGCAGTGGCTGACTGGACAGATTAAAACAGATGCTATGTATCCACGATAAAACCTAGTCCCTGGCTGTGCACAGACATCCATGCTGGGGAAGGTGTTAAAAGGAAGTTAAGACTTTGAGGTTATTGGTGACCCAGAAACCAGGTAATGTAGTAAAACGAGTTGTGCTGTGTTATTTTTTAAAGTGTCTTCTTAAAATGGCTGTGAGTGAAAAACCTCCCTCTCTTTGTCCAGTTACTGACAGCACAAGCCCGACCAGCGCAGGTGTTGTTGTGTTGAGAGTGAGAGGTAAGGAGTGTGGGGCCAGTTCTCCAAGCTCTGTAGTCTCTTCTCATCTCGGTTCCTTGCCTACGGTCTCCCCTGTGACCTGGCTGGGGAGCCCGCCCTGGGCTTGATCTTGGTTTCAGTAAGGAAATCAGCGAGCTCTGGGTTTGCCTCCAGAACTTTCCAGTCTAGGAAAGGAAGTCCTGCGGAGGCTTGCAGAGATGCTAGGGGTGGGGGCAGCGGAGATAGCAGGAGGGGTACTTGTGTAATCAGATTCTTTGATTTTGTTAGCCTGGCTCATGGCCTATTAATTAGATTACTCTCTTTCATTCTTGATTTCACATCCGTGTTTGTTCCAGTATCCTGAAATGTGGGCGCGCGTGGCGAGCAGGAGCCCATGATGTCACTGCCGGCCAGGGCAGCAGCCTGGCCTTCTGGAGGGCTGGGGGCTGCGCTCTGTGATGAGCCAGCTCTGGGAGTGACCTCGGAGGGCTCTGGGCGACTGGCCTTCCCGTGGTGACACGCTGTGTGCACCGTGTGTGTGTCTGTACACGCGCGTCTGTGGGTGCAGGGCGGGGGGGGGCTGCGGAAAGTGGCAGCCAGATCTCCGAAGCCCTGGGGACGCAGAAGGCTCGCTCCGGTGCGGGGCTTGCCTCCAGGGGAGATGGGAGGTCCAAGTTGCGGAGGGTGCTGCGGAGGGTGCTGGGACGGGCGGCCGCCGGTGGGGTGGCATCCCCGCCGGACCAGCTGGCCAGTCCCACAAGTTGTTTTCCTCGTGGCGACCATTCAGCAAAACGCACGATCCTTTCTCCAAGATTTAAATTTCGCGGATGAATTACCATACAGCGGTTGCTTAGCAACTAAATTCAAGCAGGGCTAAGAATATGCAAGCTTTTTGTGTTCTCATTAATAAAAATGCCACTCTGACACAGCAGCCCGACTTTGGATCACTGCAACTTCTGTAAAAGCCGTAGGAGAATACAAACCGATCCTGCCATTTAATTACAGATCAAAATAGCTGGAAACGCGATGTTTTGTTCATCTATCTTCCTAAAAGCAATGTAAAAATTAACGGCTTTCCAGAAGCAGGAGTAAATCTTTTTTTTTAAAAGGAGTTTTCTAGCGGGGTTACCATAATTGTCCAATGAAACTTTTTAAAACACAGGTCGAAATAGCCGTCTGCACCACCATTTCTGCCTCCCCTCGGCCCGCGGCCTCCGTGCTGCTCGCCTCCCCGCCCAACAAGAACAGTTGTTCCAATCGTGGGAACGCTCGGGCCTGGGGGCCGGGAGACTGGGGGGCGGGGGGCAGAGGGGTCCTGAGCTGGGGCCG